CATTTGTCCAGCCTCTGGCTAGAACAGAGATATCCTAAAGCCAGAGTTCTTTCCTTGTGAATAAAGAGGGTCATCCTTTAGCATAGTGACATTCAAGTAGCGCTAGAGGAACGAATGAGAGTCTTCCTCCACTCCAACCAGCCAGGCTAATGAAATGCAAGGAAAACATCCAAAGAGGGTTCCAATTCGAATAGGTAAAAGAAGTAACTCTAGCAAGGAGTAAATACATGACATATTTACTCCCCACTTCCAGGTCTGTGACAACCACCACTAACTTACTGCCGTTCTTTCAACCTGAAGGTTGGATGCTAATCCAACAGAGATCTGCTCCCAATGGGGTTGGTATACACGATGCAACCCATTTGCCATCCCTAGATCCTATGATAAATCAAATTCTCATCAAAGGTCAAATGATCAGTTTCTTGGTAAAATAGCAAAGTAGAAGTGAGTGGCATATTGGAAAAAGAGTACTGGTGTCACAGAGAGTTTGGGATTAAAAAAAAAACTAAGTATAGCCATACATTTCATTCAGCATTTACTAAGAACCTACTGTGTGTCAGCTGTAGTGATATAAAGAAAACTAAAACACAGTCTCTGCCCTTGAGAAGCTTACAGAAGAGAAAGCAAATTGCTGTGGAAATTAGGAAGGTAGACTTCAGAAAGACTGTAAAGCAAGATGCACAAGACTCCACTTTGCGTGGGGGCTCCCTGTCCTTGATTAGAGATACCAGTCCGAAGGTAGACTGAGAGCTTAGACTTTCAAAGCTACAATCCATGGACTGCTCCAGGCAAATGTACAGGCTTTTATTCTTTGCTTTAACCAGAAACCCACAAGAAGTTCAAGAAATCCAAAGGTGCTGATTCTCTGCGGATTATAGGAACAATCATTGCTATCATTTACTGAGCAAGTGTCAGGCACGTTTCATTTATAATCTCTAATCCTCACAACTCTGCAAGGTAGGTTTGTAATCCTCATTTTATTCACAAGGAAAATAAAGTTTGAAGAGCTGAATAGCATGACCAGGGATAGCCTTTAAGAGGGATTTAAACTTAGGTCTCTTTGAGTCTGTGTGCTTCACAAGATACTAAACAGCCTCTGAAAAGGGAAAAAATATGTGTGTTAGTGTAGACAGGTACACTAACATACGTATATGACATATGCATGGCATACACCCAGGAAAGTCCAAAAACCGTACAGTTACTGAGGAGGACACCTTTCTGTAAATTACCGGAACTAAACAGTAATGCGTGACATTAACACATTGATAAAGACATACAAATTGAAGAAAGTGACTTCTGATTACAGGAAATGCTCTCCAAAGCATTCGATTCATGGACTCAAATCAGGAAACAATTTCTCATTGCATGCCTTCCTTAGTGTTTATGTAGCAACTAAGAACCTCATCCAATTTTTTGAAAATGCCAGATTCTAAGAAAAGAGAACAAGCAGCCAGGTGCTTGCACCTGTAATTCCAGCACTTTAGAAGGCCGAGGCAGGCAGAACACAAGATCAGGAGACTGAGACCATCCTGGCTAACACAGTGAAACCCCTTTTCTACCAAAAAATACAAAAAAATTAGCCGGGTGTGGTGGCATCTGCCTGTAGTCTTAGCTACCCTAGAAGCTGAGGCAGCAGAATCGCTTGAACCTGGGAGGCAGAGGTTGCAGCGAGCCGAGATTGCACCACTGCACTCCAGCCTGGGCGACAGAGCAACACTCCATCTCAAAAAAAAGAAAAAGAAAAAAGAAAACAAGTAGCGAAGGAAATCATTTCAACAGAACAGCAGCAGTAACATTTCCAGCCTTCGTCTTGGTTGTGCCACTCCCTTCTTCTAAGTTACCATGGGGCCAAGTGACAGAAAGGAAACAAAGGGAACACAACCAGCATATTTTGGAGGAAGGTGAGATGAGGGCCAAAGGCTCACTCCATCTGTCCAAAGACCTCTAAGAGAAAAAAAAAAATCTCAAGAAACGAGACCAATTTGATTTAAGGTACTACAAAATAAAAAACTTTAAAAATTAAAAATCTTCACATCAAATAAGAGCTTTCTTCCTAGAATAAATAAATCCCTTAGATTAGGTAAACATCCCACATTAAAACACACGATTATTGTTAAGTTTTTTTTTTTTTTTTGTATTGCCAACATGTTCCAGTACTCAAGTCGAAGCAAAAGATTAAACATCCTTATATTTTTCTTGTGATTTTGCTGCCAAATGCAAATATCTGACTGTAAGTAAGTCATTACTCTCCTGCTGTTGTGGTCTGATTAATTCTCACAATATTAGCCAGCAATTCATTTTATCCCTTGGCATCACAAGTCCAGTTGAAGGAGATAAGTGGCTGATAAAAGATCTCTGAGAACAGTTATAAATGATTCACTTTAAAAGAATAATAAAGCAGCCGCTGGATAAGTGCAGCTGAGTAAACCTTCTATACATTGCACAAAACTAATTTAGTTTAAAAAACTTCGGCAAATTATAGTCAATAATCTTCACTGTCACCCTGCTGCTCACAAAACTTTTGAGAAGAAACTTAATGCTGAAATGCAAATATTTAATTAGATTTTAATGGTGAGGTTTATTTTTCCTAAATCTGGTCATCTGTCTCAATTACAATCCCCATATTTTACAGTTAACCAAGAATTGTCATTCCCATGGGCTTTGGGGATGCTTTCTCTTTTCTAATTCCTACTTAGCATTTGTTTTTTCACAATGCAGTTCTTGTGGGAAAGGATTTGGTTTGTTCTGCTTTGGAAAAAAATAAAAGCAACATTTTGGGGGGAAAAATACATGTTCTGAGCAATGCTTTTAAAGCTAATTGTCCTTCTGTCCTAATAACAGAGAATCTTCAGCAGCTAAACAATTAATTGTGTTTTTTCTACCTCACTGAACAAGGTAATTAATATGCGTTTGTATTTATGTAATGCCTAAGTAAAGCAGTTCTGTATGTACTAGGAGATTCTAAAGCTATATTTCTTTCAAATATATTCTGTAGTTTCAATTTTACACAAATTCGCAGAAATCAGTGGAATGTGACTGTTCATGTCCATTCCTCCAAAACCAATATTAAAATCTGTCTTTCCTTCTGTTAAGCATAAAACTCTTCCGAACTGTTATGGGAGGAGATAATGAAATTGTTTTCCTGAGCGTCAGGAAAGGCTTTGTTCCAATCATCAAGCTACATATCCCGCTTCAGACCCACCCTACTCTTTGTGATGGGGCAGGAATTCCGAGAACCACCTTTTGCCAGCTGCTTTGTTAGACTCCGCCAGCAGGGGGCACTAAGGGGTACTAGAAGGCCGCAGGAGGAAGAATGAACTTACTCGCCCGTCCTGCCGACGTCGTGTTCCTACGGGCATCACTCAGCAGCGCTTCTTCACCCTGGCAGCAGCAACTTGCTCCTGTAGCAGGATTTGATTCCAGTTTGCAGTTTTTCTGGCAATGACAAAACAGCCTCGACTCACGATCTCGTAGACACCAGCAACAGCAAGGAGCGCACCTTCCCCAGAGTTCTGGGTTCCAGCCCCAGGGCGGGGCCTTTCTCTAAGCTCCCGGGTTTGAGGATTTCAACCTCCTCCCAGGCGTTTATTCCCCCCAAACCAATGCCTTGTCACTGCTTCCCGAAGCTGCTACCTCCGTGATTATCTTAATGTTCATTTTTTGCCCCTTCAGTTCATTAACACCTTTAGTGCAGTTGTTTTGTTTTGTTTTGTTTGTTTTGTTTTGTTTGAGAAGTCTTACTCTGTCACCAGGCTGGAGTGCAGTGGCGCAATCTCGGCTCGCAACCTTCGCCTGGGTTCAAGCGATTCTTCCGCCTCAGCCTCTCGAGTAGCTGGCACCACAGGCGCGTGCCACCACGCCCGGCTAATTTTTTGTATTTTTAGTATAGACGGGGTTTCACCACGGCCAGGATGGCCTCGATCTCTTGACCTCGTGATCCGCCCGCCTCGGCCTCCCAAAGTGCTGGGATTACAGGCGTTTAGTGCAGTTTTTAATATTCAATTCAGTAAAATGAATCGGTATGGTTTTGGTCTTCTGGCCTGATCTTTACTGCCACAGCCTTGCTTACTTTTTAAAGTAGATGCACCTGAATTGGAATTCCAGCACTGCCACTTACTAGCGGTGTGATCTTGGCCAATTACTTAAAATTTCTGAGCTTGGGTTTTTTTCTTATGCAAAATGGGTATAATATCCTAGAGTTCTTATGCCTAATGAGAGGACCTGGGTCAAGTAGCTTAAAGATAGTAAGGCCAAAAAAAGTTGGTTCCTTCCCTCTTTGCCTCTGTAAGTTCAAGTTCTCCTGCTTAGAGCAGGTAAGAGTCATGCTCTTTCCTTAACAAAAATAAAGACATGCTTCCTCCTTCCTTACAATACTTACTGTATTAATCAAGTCGCGCCTCCCCCTTCCTCACAACACTCACTGTATTAATCAAGGCGCGCCTCCGCCTTCCTCACAATAAATACTTACTGTATTAATCAAGTCGCGCCTCCCCCTTCCTCACAATACTCACTGTATTAATCAAGGCGCGCCTCCCCCTTCCTCACAACACTCACTGTATTAATAAAGGCGCGCCTCCGCCTTCCTCACAATAAATACTTACTGTATTAATAAAGGCGCGCCTCCCCCTTCCTCACAATACTCACTGTATTAATAAAGGCGCGCCTCCCCCTTCCTCACAATAAATACTTACTGTATTAATAAAGGCGCGCCTCCCCCTTCCTCACAACACTCACTGTATTAATAAAGGCGCGCCTCCGCCTTCCTCACAATAAATACTTACTGTATTAATAAAGGCGCGCCTCCCCCTTCCTCACAATACTCACTGTATTAATAAAGGCGCGCCTCCGCCTTCCTCACAATAAATACTTACTGTATTAATAAAGGCGCGCCTCCCCCTTCCTCACAATACTTACTGTATTAATAAAGGCTCGCTTCCCCCTTCCTCACAATACTTACTGTATTAATAAAGGCGTGCTTCCCCCTTCCTTACAATACTTACTGTATTGTGCCCACTGTAGTTCTGCAGTCTCGTTCCACTTAGCTGCTGCATGGTGCCTTCATTCCAGGTGTGATAATCACAATAACTCCTTCAAGCCTGTCAATACATTTTTTTGTTAACTATATTCTTTTCCACTGCTTTCTGGCAGCCCAGCTTCAAATTATTTTGCCAATGCTCATGACATTTTTCTCTAGACATTTCTGCATTTCATATTCTTTTCCCATATGATATCTGGAACTGTCATTTTGCCCCCATCTCATTTCCCATACATTCTCACCTTTACCCCTCACTCCCCACTTACATTCTCTTACTTCCTGGAAATTTTACATCTAGATAAATTAGTTCCATATCACATCACACATGTCTTTTAGAAACATCAAATTTCTCTTTACTCATTCACTTTTCCTCTGTGAAGCTTTTAGGGTATGGTTCAAAATAGGCCATTGGTAAATATCTGCTGAATAAAAAATTAAGGAAATCTCCATTTATTCCAATCATCTATCTTTTTTGTTCCACCCTTTTCAGATTCCTTGGCTTTTACCTTCTGAAAGCTGCTATTTCCTCAATCTGGGCAAGGAAGAATAAACTTGGGTCATATTCCCCTTTCTGTTCCGCTCTCTCCATTAATAGCGTAATACAAAAACAAATCTTCAAAGACACAAAGAGATACAAGCTATTCAAAGATATAAGGCAGTGTCCTCATGTCTAACCCTCTTTTACTCAAAAAGCGCTCTACTTTCTATTTTTCTTGTATGATCTATTGTTTGATAAGACAGTATCCACATGGACAAGCCATATTTAGTTATTGGTATTCAGTTGTAGTTTTTGTAGCTGTATGGATGTGTATGTGTATATATGTAAATTAAATATTTGGTGAGTTGGCCTCATTTTCTCAAAAATTAATTTATTTATTTATATCTACCTTATTGCCATACAGGTGGTAAGGCAGACAGTCTCTGTTACAAATGGACACTCTTTCCATATAATTATGTTTTAAAATTGTTCAGTGTGATTGACCTTGTTTGGGGCTAGGTCATGCCAAACTTAAAGTTTCACAGTTTACTACTTCTGTATTAATATTCTGCTAAAATGGTGTGGCATCTTTGATTCTTGGCATTTCACCCTCATTCCCTCTTTTCACACAAAATGGCATGTTTGTATCTTGGATCTGTCATTTGTTTTTTTCCACAGAACTCTATTTGGAAGCCTCCAGCAAGGAATTTGCCAGAGATTTGATGAATCAGGTGTTGACTTTAATTGTTGCAAGACATGAACAAGACAATTAAAACCATCTGGGTAATAGCCCTCCTTCAAAACCATTTTACAGATAATAAAACCAAGGTCCAGAGACCTGATCCCGGCTGGCCAAATGACAAAGTGGGAATGGCAGAACTGGGAAGATGTTTTGATCCCCTGAATTTCAAACCAATGTTTGTTCTCTTTGTTTTTATCTTGTTACCTCTTTGGAAACCCCTAAGCCTGAAGCCTCCTTTCAACTCTTAAATGTCTGAAGGGAACTATTTCATTATTTCTCATCTTTGTTCATTCTGCTTTCATGCATAATTTTTCTCTTTTTCTTTCCACCTCACATTGTATAAATAAAAATGTCAATATATCCATGACTCTTTCTCAGCACTGCACTGCCCCAACACTGCTACTATGTACAACCTTCTTAATTAAGAGGAAACCCAAGTAAAAAGAAGAAAAATAAGAAGTTAAAGACATTTGTAAACATGGGACTTCCAGTTTCAAGATGATGGACTGAACATACAGCACACTCCCTCTCTCTTTACAAATCCAAAGACTAAATGTTTTTAAAATAAACATAATATGCATGTATATACGATACTTGAAAACAAGAAAGGTCACTTCCAATAACCAAATACATGTAGGAAATTTCTGAAATACATAAAGCTTAAGAGAAGCAACAGAGAAATTCTGCATATTCATTACAATATTTCATTAATTACCCCATGACTAAACTATAGCATATTCCTTTATATTATTTTGATAATATATAATTATGTGATATAGGCCAGGCACAGTGGCTCACGCCTGTAATCCCAGCATTTTGGGAGGCCGAGGCGGGCAGATCACTCAAGGTCAGGAGTTTGAGACCAGCCTGGCCAACATGACGAAACCCCATCTCTACTAAAAGTACAAAAATTAGCTGGGCATGGTGGCAGGCACCTGTAATCCCAGCTCCTCAGAAGGCTGGGGCAGGAGAAACGCTCAAACCTGGGAGACGGGAGTTACAGTGAGTTGAGATTTCGTCACCACACTCTTGCCTGGGCAACAAGAGCAAGACTCCGTCTCAAAAAAAAAAAAATGTGATATATTTTAGGAGCTAAGAAGAATGAGAAAAAGAGTAACATTTATATATTTAGTTCTAAAAGTAACCTTACAGATTTAGTGTTATTATCCCCACTTTACAGATGAAGAAGTAGAGTCCAGAGAAGTAACCTAAGATAAGACCTCTTAGCTAGTAAGTGACAGAATGGGGATGGGAGCATCGGTGTTTCTGGCTCTAAAGCCGGGGCAATTTCCACTACACACAGTGTCTCCTCACACAGTGGAAGGGCAGGCACTTATTGGACACTGCCATATGACAGGCATGGGACCAGATACAACATTACTTACTCACTTACTTTTTTATTTTGAGATGGAGTCTCACTCTTACTGCTCAGTCTGGAGTGCAGTGACGGGATCTCGGCTCACTACAACCTCCACCTCTCAGGTTCAAGGGATTCTCCTGCCTCAGCTTCCTGAGTAGCTGGGATTAGCAGGGACTATAGGTGTGAGCCAGCACACCTGGCTAATTTCTGAATTTTTAGTAGAGGCGTGGTTTCATCATGTTGGCCAGGCTGGTCACAAACTCCTGACCTCAAGTGATCCACCCGCCTTGGCCTCCCAACCTGCTGGGATTACAGGCATGAGTCACCCCACTCAGCCTACATACAACATTATCAATGACACCACATGCTTCAGGTAGTTTGGTTTGCCTGAGGATTTTCAAGGAAATGTTAGTAAGACAAAGATGACTAATCCCATTTATAGGAAGAAAGCTGAGGAATGCAGAGGACAAATCAGTTGACTAGAATAACAGAAATCACCAGCTCCATTTCAGAAGAGAATTCATTTAATCACCAGGTAATGGTCACCAGCCACAGTCTCACTCCAAGTCCCAAGTTGGACCTAGAGTAAACCTTGGTGTGAGGACCAGTCAGAGATTAGGATGGCAGTGCTGTGGGTCTGAAATTAACCAAGATCAAATCCATGATCTTGTTCTCATTAGAGCATGCCCTAATACTCTGGGTGATCTCATACATAAGCCACATTTCATTTCCTTGAACACATGAAATCATCACTGATGATTATGGGAATTATGACAATTCCCAGAGAAAAAAAGGCCATGAGACACAAATGCCAGTAAGTCTTCCATCCTCTAGGAAATCTCAGCAACCTCCATAAGGGCTGGCTGGTGGTATGTGGTATCAATAACTGGCTTGGAGCTCAGAAATCTCACAGATATGTCTTTACTCCTGGGAGATTTTGAGCAGGAGTTTTTGCTTTCCACTGTGATTCATCCTGTGAGCTTGGTTTTATGCAGTAGTAACAGAGTCTCATTTTAGGTCTCTCCTCAGGAAGAGAGCTCAAGAACACAGAAAAAAGAAGGAAGAAAGGAATTAACATTCATGATGTGTCTACAATGTTCTTGACTCAGTGTTCAGTGTTTTAACTATGTTATCTCATTTAATCTGCACAAAAATTTGATGAGCTAAGGCAGAGTATCTCATTTTGGCAGGTGGTGAAACTGAAAATGTGTGCGGTTGAGAAACTTGCTCAAGCTCACACAGTTAGTAAGGTCATGAAGGTTAGTAAGCTTCAACCATGGGTCTATTTGCCAATGAAATTTATACCTTTCTCATTAAATTACCTTCTATAAGATAGAAAAATTATAAAAGCATTCTGTAAAATAGCCCATCCTATATATCTATGGACTTGAATATAACAGTGAATAGCAATAAGCACATTTTGTTATTCTTCTGCTAATCTGTGACTGGAAATAATTTGATATAAAATATCATTTTGCCTTTTTGGGCAAAATTCTGTCTAAATACAGAAATATTGCATCATTATCTAGTAAATTGCTTTCTTATATACCATAGTTTATTATCTGCAGATATTGTCAGGGTTTGATGTTTGAGTCATTATGCTTATGGGATTTAATTTTTAATGATGCAAAAATTATGCACAGTATACCATCATTTCTCTCCCAAAACCAGAATCTGATAGCTAATAATTGCTCCTTACCTAGTTTGCTAACGCTTCGTGATATTAATTAGAGTGTAACTGAAATCAGAAAAGTGACTCTCTGAAAATGGCCTTTATGGATTCTGTGCTCATTTTCTTCCAGTAACTTCAAGATTAAAATTGTTAGGTACACATCAACAATTTTTTCCCTGACAAACTCTCTACAAACAAGATGTAAGGTCTAGAAAATCTGGCCAGTGACCTTTTCACTTCATGCAAGTGCAAATAACTCTGTAGTTGTATATCTTGCATAATACTAGCTACCGTAACAATAAGCCATCAAATGAGTGGCTTACCACAATAGACAGAAATAAACCTCTGTTCTCATGTTAATCCCATACAGGTGTTCCCAGCAATGGGTAACTTTCTTCCACATGGTAATTTACAGACCTAGGTTTCTTCAATTTATGGTACTGCAGTTCCCTAGGGTCTTAGAATACGCTGCCTCCAGGAGTGTGTGTACAATGTTCAAGAGAAACATACACATATAATCAATGTATGTGCAAATCAATAAGACTATCTATCTCACATGGGTAATTGTGAGGATTAAAGTCATATACATATATTTATCTTGCATCATAAATACATAAATATAATTTTAATCTTCATAAGAACCTTGTGAGTTAGAGAATATTATTATATATATTTTACAACGACGAAACTGAGTTAAAGTACTTAAACTTGCCTAAAATCACTGTTTTACAAGCAATGGGGAAAGGACTCCCTGTTCAACAAATGGTGTTGGGAAAACTGGCTAGCCATGTGTAGAAAGCAGAAATTGG